CTATATAATATGAGTTTGACACATCCCCATAGGCAAAGTGGGGGAGAACAAGAGGTCACAAGACCAGTCAAGCAAAGCAAAGCAAGCTCAAGGTGGATCACAAAGTCACCACACAATCCGAGCACAAGAGCAAGGCCAAAAGGCCAGTTCACATGCAAGATCATATATAAAGGCAAACAAGCAAGTGCAGGTATAGAAAGATCACAGTACAAGCAAGGTCAAGAAGTGAGCAAAAGAGGCCAAGTAGGCACAAGACCTAACATCGTACAGAAGCGCTGATGATCACAAGGAGGAAGTGCCTTGGTAAAGATATCAGCAGTGTTGGCCTCAGAGGCCATGTAAGCAAGGCGCAGCTGACCATGCTGCTGCAGCTCACGAGCAAGGAAGTAGCGAAGAGCAATGTGCTTCGTTCTGTGCTCCAGTTTGTGCTCCCGACACAAGGCTAGCATGGCCTTGTTGTCTACGTACAGAACTGGAGGAGAACGAGGCTGCTCTCCTAGGTCAGTCAGCAGGTAGGTGAGCCAGCGTAGCTCCTGTGTAGCCATGGCCCCCGCGTAGATCTCAGCCTCACAGCTGCAGCCGAGAACACAAGACGAGCGGGTAGACCGCCACGAAACAGAGCCGGAGCCAAGGCTGAAGGTGTAACCCTGTGACGACCGCTGCGTAGCCTGGTCGTCAGCCCAAGAAGCGTCTGCGTGACCTGTGAGGACCACTCGACGTCGCCCTCCAAGCACTAGCCCCATGCCCGACGTACTGCACAAGTAGCGCAACACCCTCTTCGTTGCAGCCATGTGCTCTGGTCGGTGTCTCCCAGGAGCAACATAGCGTGCGAAGATGCTAAGAGGGTATGCTAGGTGAGGTCGAGTGCAGGTCATCAGGTACATGAGGCAGCCAACAAGCTCTGGGTACATGCCACTCAGCTCTACGGACTCATCCGAAGGCAGAGCTGAGAGCGAGTGGCGAGTAGACAGAGGAGTGGCATGAGGCGAGGAGTACGTGAAGTCGAAGCGCTCAAGGACCTGCTGCACCATGTGTGACTGAGTCAGGGTAAAGGTGCACTGTGCTCTGTCCTGGGTGATCTGCAAGCCAAGGTAGCTGCGCAGTTCACCTAGGTCTGTGCACGTGTGTCTCTTCTACAGCTCGGACTTCACGTGGGCTAGTCCAGCAGTGTCAGCAGTGGCAAAGACCAAGTCGTCGACGTACACGAGGATGTAGAACGGCGGCAAGGAGGTGTCAGTGCGCAGAAACAGCGACGGGTCGGCAGTAGAAGGAGCAAACCCAAGAGCCGCAAGTGTAGTCCTCAGTGTGTCGTGCCACTCACGGGGCGCCTGGCGGAGACCGTAGACTGGCCGCCGGAGGCTCCACTGGGTACCAGGAGGAAACGACCCAGTGAAGCCAGGCAGGCGGCGCAGCCAGATCTCCTCGTGCAGGCTGCCCTGCAGGAAAGCCGTGCTGAAGTCAAGAGAGTGAAGCTCGTAGTCGCGCTGAGCGGCTATGTGCAGCAGCACCCGAAGAGTGGTCATCTTTGGGGTGGGAGAGAAGGTCTGAAAGTAGTCGACTCTCTGCCGCTGACTGAAGCCTCGAGCCACGTAACGCGCCTTGAAGACAGGCGGAGAACCCGGCGGCCGCTTCACCCTGAAAATCCACATGCCACTGACGATGTTCGCCCCAGGTGGGGGAACCTCGTCAACGTAGGTGCCTGTGGACTTCCAGGAAGCCATCTCTGCGTCCATGGCCGACTGCCACTGAAAGGAGTAGGGACCCTCGATCGCCTCAGCGTACGATCGAGGAGTCGGGATGTCAGGTGCATCCGGGTCTCCCTCAGGGGCAATCTGCGTGGCCACGAGATGGGGCAAAGCAGCAGCAAAGCACTGGAACTCCTCTTGCCTGTCCTCAAGGACGTCCATGCTAAGAGCACACTCACCCCCGACGGACGAAGGACTGACAGACTCAGACCCAGCAACTAGACTAGCAGCGTAGTCTAGACGACAGCGAGCAGCGAAGTTGAAAAGCTCAGCAACTAGGGCAGACGCAGCAGTGGACTCAAAGGAAGGGTCGGTGACAATAGTAGCCAGGAGACGCGTAACAGAAGGACTGGCAGCACAAAGAGAGTCAGACTCCGGGTCAGCTTGTCGAGGTAGCTATTGACTCTGGTGCTGCTAGAGGTGCTGAGCCTGCGGGTGCCGGGTCTGAAGTGGCGACGCACAGCAAGACGGGCAGCAGCATCGCGTGTCGCCCACTGTGAGCGAACAGTGCTGTCACCAGTAGCAGGCGGGGCAGGGGAGGCACCAGAGGTGAGGTCGAACAGAGAGAGGCCGTCTGTCCTATCGCACTAGAGGAACAGCTGGAGGTCATCGACCGTGACCTCAAAGTCAACAGCACGGCCCTCAGTGTCAAATGTAAGAACTCTGGGGGTAGCCATGATCGCAGAGGTTTAGCAAGTATGGGCTCACCAATACGAGTAACTAGGGCCGAGGCGCGTCGGTAGGACTGGTAGCGGCTCAGCGGCTTGGCTGCTGGGCGGCTGGGTGGTCGGGCGGCTCGGCGACTCGCCTGTCGGGCGGCTCGGCGGCTAGGCAGCTCGGCTGCTGGGCGGCTCGGCTGCTGGGCGGCTCGGCGGTCGGGCGGCTCGGCGGCTCGGCTGTCGGGCGGCTCGGCTGCTGGGCGGCTCGGCGGCTCTGCTGCTGGGCGGCTCGGCGGCTCCGCTGCTGGGCGGCTCAGTAGAGGTGGCGTCGAGGCCGCGTAGGAGGCGGCGTCGGGGCCGCTTAGGAGAGGTAGCGGGGCCGCGGAGGGGCGGCGACGAGGCCGCACGAGGGGGGCGACGGGGGCCGCTAGAGAGCGGGGACGAGGTCACAAGAGGGCGGCGACGGGGGCCGCCTGAGGGCGGTGACGTGGCCGCGAGAGGGCGGCGACGAGGCCGCGAGGGGCGGCTGCAAGGCCGCTACGAGCGGCGACGGGGCCGCGAACGGCGGTGACGGGGCCGCGAGAGGGAGGCGACGGGGCCGTGATAGGGCGGCGACGGGGCCTCGAGAGGGCGGCGATGGGGCCGCAAGAGGGCGGCGACGGGGCCGCGATAGGGCGGCGACGGGGCCGCAAGAGGGCGGCAACGGGGCCGCGATAGGGTGGCGACGGGGCCGCGATAGGGCGGCGACGGGGCCGTGGAGGAGGGGCCGCTGAGGGCGGCGCGACGGGCCGCTAGGAGAGCGGCGACGGGGTCGCGAGGGGCCGTGAGAGAGGGGGAGGGCCGCTGAGGGTGGCGCGACGGGTCGCTAAGGGGAGGGCGGCACATTGGGCGCGACTCGGTCAGGAGGGACTCGATCTCATGGCATGAAAAAAAATGTCTAAGTTCAGTGGTGGGCCCTAGGAAGTTCCCACGAGGGAACCAGCTCTATACCATGTGAGAATCGAGGAATGAAATGAACTAGCACAAAGTTGGGTACAAGTAGGAAACCCTAGGAAACTGTACCCCATAGTGTCTACCCCACTATAGCCTACACAAGCTATATAATATGAGTTTGACAGGTTGGGCATGAAAAAATTAGGGTTCCAAAAGGTTACCTATGTAGGACTTACCGTTCAGTTAGAAGGAATTAGGCTTGGCAGTAGCGCTTGCGGGAATGTTGCCCTAGTGTTGCCTGTTCGGTTTGGGCGTGCAGAGTTGTTGCGCCCGTGATTGGCTATTGCTTCGTAGTTACTGCTGGTTATGAGCAAACTACCGAACCGGGCCGGTTCGATAGCTGTAACACGATTACCAAACCAATCATCTGGAAAACCAGTTTGGTTGGAATCGAACCGGCCAGGTTTGGTACCGGGTTCCTGGTTGATATAAGCCTACAACCAGGCCAGTTCGGTTTGGTACAGGGTGGTTCGATTATACCAGAGCCAGTTTGGTTCAAATGCGTGAACGTTTCTAGAATAATTATGATTAAAGCTATTTATATGCCTACAACTAGGTGTCAAAAGTAAATACAACACAAAAGTCTAACCTGAAGCTTAGCCAAAAAAATCGAAGGTTTTCAATAATCAGGAACCTGAACCTTAGCGAACAATTTCAAAGGTTTTCAAGGATCAACAATTCATGGTTACAATATTCAAATACAAATTTACCTGAAATATTGTTTCGGATGCATGCTTCATAACATAGTTAGGTTCCAATGTTTTTACACATGCGTATGTAGAGGGAGAAAAATAAAGGACCTAGCGAAAACAATGCCCGCACAACAATAAGACTGTTATCATTAAAATATGGAAGAGGGCAGCGGGCGCAGAGAGTGGAGAGGGGGCAAAGAATGGAGAGGAGGGAGAGAGGGGAAAGGATGGACTATTGCGTGTGCTCATGTTGCAGCATTCCCCTGCTACCCGCTGCCATTCCACCTGTAACCTTTGACAAATAGAGTCCACACCGACGATATGCGCCCCCAGCTCCTCTACTTGCTCCTCTACTTTCTCCTTTCCAATCACATATACTATACCCCCTCCACTTTCTACACTTCCTTGATTCATCTCATCCTCCGGCACCTTCATTTCTTACACTCTGGCCCACTGCTCTCTAAGAATCACCCACCTGTCTCTGTGCACCAGTCCCTTTTATTGATCACCCAGCGCTAGGGTTCTTCCTATCTACACTCATTCATCCTCTCTTACTTGCTATCCCCTCTCTCTCTTTCTCATACAGTTGTTTGTGCAACAGACAAACTTGCTCAACACCATGGACCACCGGAAGTTCATTACCGAGAGGCTGCATCATTTAGAGAAATTCATCAATAACGTTGAAGAAAGCGTTGGAAATGTCTAGCTGATGGACTTGTAGGTCGAAAGCAGTAGCAATGGTGAGGAAAAGGCGGAGGGTGGCGAAGCAGACAGTAGGAGCAAATGTCTCATGTGGTTTGAGGTTCGTAATGATGATGAAAGGCGGCAATGCCAGAGTTCTTGGAAAGAGGAGGAAAGAGAGGGTACGTTTTTGAGAAGTGAGAAAAGTGATTGATCGCGAGGAGTTGAAGTTAATGGTGGTGAGGAACAAGGCGTGCAATGGGGAGGCCCAGGTGAAGAGGGAGGGGAGAGAGATGGAAGGTGACTGTTTTGCGATAAGGAGTGTTTGAAATAATGGAGGAGGATAAGATGTGGCTTTTGCGGGCAGATTTGGGGATGGTGGGTGGTGGGTGGTGGAGGAGGGTATGATGTGTGAAGGAGAGGGAGTGGAGGGCGGGGCCAAGGAGGGAGGGTATGGAGAGGGAGGTATAGAGGAAGGGTGGAGATCACGATGGAGGGTCTTGAGGGTCGTACCTGCAGCCGGCGCGCCCCCCTGCAGCCGGCCCGCCCCCCTGCAGTCGGCGTGCCCCCCTGCAGCCGGCGTTCCCCCCTGCAGCCGAGCGCGCCCCGCTGCAGCCGGCGCGCCCCGCTGCACAGGAACGCTGCCGGCGCGCCCCGCTGCAGCCGAGCGCGCCCTGCTGCCGCTGGCGCGCCCCGCTGCAGCCGGCGCGCCCCCCTGCAGCCGGCGCGCCCTGGGACCATCGCACCTTGGTGTGTCCCCCCAGCACAATCTCAACTGCACTCCAAACTCGTCCTCCTCCTCCTCTTATTCCTCCTCATCATACTCCTCACTCTCATTGCTCCTCTGTCCGCCATCCACCCGGTCCTGCCACCCTGCCGCTTTGCCCTTCTTCCGCCCACCGTGTTGCCCTCTGCCGTGATCAGCAGGGGCAGGCGGGCCAATCAGCCCGCCAGCACGGTCCTCCAGGGAGGCCGGGGGGTGCGGAAGGCTGATCACTGCATGCCCCTCGCCCTCATCCTCGCCGCGCACCATCGCCACTCTCCGCCCATCCGTTGCTCCTCCATCCCTCACCGTGCTTGCCCCACCCCCCTCCCCATTCACCCTTCCCACCTCCTTGTTTGCCCCACCGCCAGCGCCAGCACCAGCGCCACTGGGCGCACCACCGCCTGCCTCCCTCAAGTTGTCCCCCGCCGCTTCCTCTCTGCCCACACGCTCCGGTCCTTCGCCTGCCCCTCCCCCCTCCGCCACGCGCCCAGCGCCCACCAAGCCTACAGCCACTGCTCCTACCTCTAAAGCTGTCGCTAGCCCTGCCTTGGCCCCGTCGCCTAACCTCTTCGCCAGGCTCGGCCCGTCGCTGAACTTCACCCTCCCAGCCTTCTTCTTCCCCTTCCCTCCGGCGTGTTTCACGTGCGCGCGCGCCGTTTGCGCGTGTACGGCCTAGAGCAGCGTAACGCGCTCCTCCTGGCAGCCGAACGACGCGAAGAAGGCGTCGCGCACCCCTAGCAGCGTGTCACCCTCGTCGTCCGCCAACGCGGCGGAGGGAGGGGGCGGAAGGGCGGGCTGTCGGGGTCGCGACGGCTGTCTGCTTCACAGCTGACATCATCCATCAAATGATTATGGAAGGGAATGTGAGAGATTTGTCATTAATGTCACATAATGACTTCAGCATGTGAGATCCGCTAGAGGAAGAGAATATTGGGTGTCTCTGAAATGGATTACCACGCGAATTAGCTTACTTGAACAACACAAACGAGGAAGAGAGGAATGAGGCGTCCTCAAAGATGTAGAGACTCGGCCAGGGGGTTCCTGACTGGTTTGAGGGTTGCTACGCACGGCGGATAATGTTCGCATACAAGTGACACCACCTGAGAAGCTTCCGTCAAGAATCGCTCTTCTCTTAGCCAACAGCCTGATCTGTGTACTTTGAGAAAGTCACAAATGTCAGAAATAAATCTTCTTCGCTTGCGGTCGTCGCTGGTTGAATGCTTGGTCTTCGCTTGCACACTACCTCAAACATCTCGTCCTCTGTTCCAACAGCAAAAGAAGGCAATATTGTTCGAACTTCGGCTTACCCTGCAAATGTGCTATGGCGCACGGAACAGACACTGACCCGAGGAAACGCCCACGGAATGGCCTGGTTGAACACTTGAGGCTCTGTCAACAAGCGTGCTTTCCGCATTACCCGCTACGCAACCGTCGTCCACAGACGAATCCATTTTTCTTGTTATTCCTCAGCTTTCAGGCGCTTGCGCTGGGGTGTGTAGCACCTAAAAAGTTTTCCCTTCCGCCCTTACCTTTCCATTAGCTAGGCCAATCGTTTCAGCTATAGCGTCCTCAAATAGACAGACATGATCTTTCGCCGGGCGAATTGTTGCACCACCGGTGCTACATCAGCAAGCGCTTAGGTCCGTTGTCAGTAGTGCAGCCGCACACGCGTGTAACGAGCCGGAGGCCGAGAGGAGGCGGAGTGAAGTGGTGGCGAGGAGGAAGAGACGATGGGGCAAAGCTGGAAGCACTCCGCATCCTGATTTCGCCCAGCGGGCGGCATCGCTGTGATCGCCGTCGTCCTCGTCATTGCCCTTTAGCAGTGTGGTGCGCAGCATGGCGACGGGGGCGCCTTCCGAGTTCAACCTGTTCATCATCCACAAGTCGGGCGGGCTCATCTACTACAAGGCACGCCGCCACCTGCTGCTAGTATGTCACAGGATCGAATTCTGAATCGAAACTTGTCACTAAAACTGAATACAAGGCGTTTTTATACTCGGAAAATACAAGGATAAACGAGATAAAACGAACCTTCGGGAACACACCCTTCCCGATACTACAATCACAAGTGCGCACAAGCACGCAAGGCTATTGGCACTTGGGATTACGCCCAGATTACACCGTATACATCGCTGTCGGGGCTGTCGGTGCCGTATAATAGATATGTCGGTGGGAAAAGTAGGAAATAAGAGAAATGAATAGAAGGCTCTAGAAAATAGAATAGTAGGCCGATTGAGATGAAATAAAGACCAAAATAAAGAGGAGAAAAAGGAGAATAAGATAAAGGAAAAATATAATAACAACAAATATTATAACAGGGACGTCCTCTCACACTTCCCCCCCTCAAAGCTAGGTGGTAGAAGTAACACCCTACTTTACAAGGTAGTCCTGGAGAGGACGACGGGCGTTATCCATTTCGTCTTCAGGTACTCAGCTATCCTCGGAAGGATCATAGCCTTTCCAACGAATCAAGAGCTCCAAGGTGCCGTTACGTCGTCGTTGGTGCGCTAGAACGACTTCGACTTCGTACTCAGGTTCCCCATTAACGATCACTGGCAGTGGCGGCGGCGGCTGGCGACCTTTGAAGACCGTGTTCGGGTCCCGATAGGGCTTGAGAAGTTGAACATGGAAGGCGTTGTGAATTCTCTAGATAGCTGGTAAACGCAAGCGAAAGGTTACTGGAGTGACCTGCGCCTCGACGAGAAAAGGTCCGCAGAAGCGAGGTTGGAGCTTAGATGGAAGATGGCTGATGTCGAGATTGCGTGTATCCAGAAGCACTTGATCGCCAATTTTGATGGAATGATCATTGCGACTCTGATCAGCGAGCTTCTTTTGTTGCTGCTGGATAGTCAGGACACGTTTATGCGTGCGCTCCCACAATTGGTGCATAGTGGTAATGAAGTCATGTGCGGGTTGCACCGTGGCAGGTACTGTCGGTTGTTGAGGCATGAGTGGGTTGCGACCGTAACCGAGGAAGAAAGGAATTTGCCCTGTTGCGGCGTGCGTGGCGTTGTTACACGCAAACTTGAGAACTGGCAGGTGCGCATCCCATTAGAGATATCGTCCTTACACGCTGCTCGAAGAAGCTGTTCGACAATCTAGTTGAGGCGCTCGGACTTCATGTGGGCGAGTCCAGCAGTGTCAGCAGTGGTAAAGACCAGGTCGTCGACGTACACGAGGATGTAGAACGGCGCCAAAGAGGTGTCGGTGCGTAGAAACAGCGACGGGTCGGCTGTAGAAGGAGCAAACCCAAGAGCCGCAAGTGTAGTCCTCAGTGTGTCGTGCCACTCACGGGGCGCCTGGCGGAGACCGTAGACTGGCCGCCGGAGGCTCCACTGGGTGCCAAGAGGAAACGACCCAGTGAAGCCAGGAGGGCACAGCCAGATCTCCTCGTGCAGGCTGCCCGGCAGGAAAGCAGTGCTGAAGTCAAGAGAGTGAAGCTCGTAGTCGCGCTGAGCGGCTATGTGCAGTAGCACCCGAAGAGTGGTCATCTTCGGGGTGGGAGAGAAGGTCTGAAAGTAGTCAATTCCCTGCCGCTTACTGAAGCCTCGAGCCACGTAACGCGCCTTGAAGACAGGCGGAGAGCCCGGCGGCCGCTTCACCCTGAAGATCCACATGCCACTGACGATGTTCGCCCCAGGTGGGGGAACCTCGTCGACGTAGGTGCCTGTGGACTTCCAGGAAGCCATCTCTGCATCCATGGCCGACTGCCATTGAGACGAGTAGGGACCCTCCATCGCCTCAGTGTACATTCGAGGAGTCGGGATGTCTAGTGCATCCAGGTCTCCCTCAGAGGCAATCAGCGTGGACACGAGATGGGGCAAAGTAGCCGCAAAGCACTGGAACTCCTCCTGCCTGTCCTCAAGGACGTCCGTGCTAAGAGCACACTCACCCCCAACGGACGGAGGTCAGACAGACTCAGACTCAGCAACAAGACTGGCAGCATAGTCTAGACGACACCGAGCAGCGAAGTCGACAAGCTCAGCAACGAGAGCAGACGCAGCAGCAGACTCAAAGGAAGGGTCAGTGACGACAGTAGCAAGAAGGCGCGTGACCGAAGGACTAGCAGCACGAAGGGAGTCAGACTCCGGGTCAGCAAGAGAAGGAAGAGAGGACTCTAGAGGAGACGGCAACGGGACACGCAGAGGAGCAATGGAAGGACGCAGTGCCATCTGGTGTGTGCCGGGGACCGCAGGAGGACGCGGACGCGCAGTACGACCACTAGTGCGAGCAGCACGAACAGGTGACGCGGGACGAGACGCAGGCTCACGACGCTCAGCAAGACCTCCAGTAGGACCAGTGTAGGGAGAAGGAGCAGGTAGAGGGGAGGCGGGCCGTAACTGTGACTGCGACTGGACAGGCGGTGGACACTCTAGGGGAGGAGCAGGACCAGTAGAGGGCGGGAGACCAAGAACCTGCTCCAGGAGCGGAACGAAGTACGGCCTTGGCCGCGCAGCGCCTCTAGAACCAGCAAGTACGGCACCAGTACCCCCAGCGGCAGCACCAGCGCCAGCAGAACCTCTAGCTCCAACAGCGCCAACTCCAATACGCTCAGAAGCACCAGCGCCAGTTGCGCCGCCAGCGCCAACACCCCCAGCAGCTCTAGCTCCAGCAGCACCAACTCCAGTAGGACCGTCAGCACCAGCTGCCTCAGCAGCACCCCCAGACGCACCAGCACCAGTAGAAACACCAGCGCCAACACCCCCAGCAGCTCAAGCTTCAGCAGCACCAACTCCAGTAGGACCGTCAGCACCAGCTGCCTCAGCAGTCTCACCAGCACCTAGCGCAGCAGCCTCAATGCCCGGGTCAGGCGGTACACATAGGTAACAGGCACCCTCAACACTATTAGCAACAGCATACATGGCAGCAAGAATAGCATCAAAGTCAAGATCAAAGATAGCCACCCCGGCCTTAGCCAGATCTCCCCAGCGAGGGATCTCTAACGCCTCAGGGAACTAGCGACGCCACGCGTCCGCCAGGCGACCAAAGCAGCGCTGGGTGGAGTGCGGACCCCCGCAGTGCTCACCAGTGCGGTCGCCGGTACGGAGAACGTAAGAGCAAGGACCAAAACCCCCACCGCGCTGGCGTGCAGTGTACCACTCACGAAGCTGCTGAAGGGACAGGGTCACACCACTCCGCTGCTGCTGCTGGCGCTGACCACCACCGGCGCCACTCCTCCACGCAGAGTCGCGACTCGCTCCAACATCGCCGCCTTTGCCGCCGCCGCCGCCGCCTCCGCCGCCTCCGCCGCCTCCTCCACCTCCGCCTCCTCCACTACCTCCGCCGCCTCCACTACCTCCGCCGCCTCCGCTCCCTCCGCCACCTCCACCGCCTCCGCCGCCTCCACTGCTGCCGCCGCCGCCGCCACCCCCAGCACCACTCCCATCACCACCCCCACTCCCTCTACCGCCTCCACCACCACCTCCACCGCCCCTTCCACCTCGTCCAGTGCCCTTGCCCCCCTTGCCCTTGCCGGTGCGGCGTCTCCCGCTCGGGGCAGACGCAGCGCCGACCGACTCGAAACCAACGAGGTCGGCCGCAGCAGTAGAGGCAGCAGAGGGCAAGAGGGGGGAGGGAGAACACCCCTCAAAGACAGGGGTGCGAGGGTCACCACGAGAGGCTCCTACATTCTCTATCGCTAGGAGGGCCTTCTCGAGGAGGTCAACGGTGAGAGTGGTGGGGCAAACAGATAGGAAGTGGTCCCTGACTACACGGAGAGAGTCAGGGAGACGGGTGACTATATAGTAGAGGGTGATGTACATGGGGGGGGGGGTTCTTGGCGCAGAACTCAGCAGGAAGCGCAGCGCGGTACGAGTGTCACTAGTGCGGAGGTGCGTCATGAGGTCAGCAACAGTGGGAAAGGCAGTAAGGTCAGGGAAGAGGTACAGTAGCATGAGGCGGCTCAGTGCAGCAGTGGCAAGGGAAGAGTAGCGTGCAACTACAGCGTCGTACAAGGTCTGAGCACTCTTGTACTGCTAAAGTGTGCACGCTCAGTGGTCGGTAAGTGGCGGCACACAGCAAGGCGAGCAGCAGCATCACGTGTGGCCCACTATGAGCGAACAGTGGCGTCAGCATCAGCAGCAGGGGCAGGGGAGGCACCAGAAGTGAGGTCAAATAGGGAGAGGCCGTCTGCCCTATCGCACTATAGGAAAAGCTGCAGATCATCTACCCAGACCTCAAAGTCCACTGCCCGACCCTCAGCGTCAAAGGTGAGAACGCTAGGCGATCGGGCTGCTCGGCAGCTCGGCTGTCGGGCGACTCGGCTGCAGGGCGGCTCGGCTGCTGGGCGGCTCGGCTGCTGGGCGGCTCGGCTGCTGGTGCGGGGCGGCTCGGCTGTCGGGCGGCTCGGCTGCTGGGCGGCTCGGCTGCTTGGCGGCTCGGCTGTCGGGCGGCTCGGCTGCTGGGCGGCTCGGGAGGTCGGGCGGCTCAGGTGGCCGGCGGTTCGGCTGCTCGGCGTTGCGGGCGCTGGGAGGCGGGGTCGCAGGTGGCCGCGGGCCGCAAGGGTGGGCGGGGCCGTAGCGGGGCCGACGGGGCCTAAGCGGGGCCGTTGAGGGGCCGACGGGGCCTAAGCGGGGCCGTAGCGGGGCCGACGAGGCCGTAGCGGGGCCGTAGCGGGGCCATAGCGGGGCCGACGGGGCCGTAGCGGGGCCTAAGCGGGGCCGACGGGGCCAACGGGGCCGTAGCGGGGCCGTAGCGGGGCCGTAGCGGGGCCGCAGCAGGGCCTAAGCGGGGCCGACGGGGCCTAAGTGGGGCCGTAGCGGGGCCGTAGCGGGGCCTAAGCGGGGCCGTAGCGGGGCCGACGGGGCCTAAGCGGGGCCGTAGCGGGGCCTAAGCGAGGCCGTAGAGGGCGACTCGAGGGGCAGTAAGGGCGGCCAAAAGGGGCCACTAAGGCGGCTCGAGGCGCTACTCGGGTTAGGAGCTAGGCGCGCTCCGGGCAGGGAAGGAAAAAAAAAAGTTCGTGGTGGGCCCTAGGCGGTATTCCCACTCGGGAACCTGCTCGATACCATGACGAGAAGTGAGAATGGAATGAATGAACTATGGAACAGTTGGGTACAAGTACTAACCCTAATTGGGTTGTACCCCTTATGGGCTACCCCACTACAACCTACACAAATGTATAAGCTATAATGTTCTGACAGTCCTCTTACACTTCCCCCCCTCAAAGCTAGGTGGTAGAAGTAACACCCTGCTTTACAAGGTAGTCCTGGAGAGGACGACGGGCATTATCCATGTCGTCTTCAGGTACTCAGCTATCCTCGGAAGGATCATAGCCTTTCCAACGAATCAAGAGCTCCAAGGTGCCGTTACGTCATCGTCGGTGCGCTAGAACGGCTTCGACTTCGTACTCAGGTTCCCCATTAACGATCACTGGCAGTGGCGGCGGCGGCTGGCGACCTTTGAAGACCGTGTTCGGGTCCCGATAGGGCTTGAGAAGTTGAACATGGAAGGCATTGTGAATTCTCTAGATAGCTGGTAAACGCAAGCGAAAGGTTACTGGAGTGACCTGCGCCTCGACGAGAAAAGGTCCGCAGAAGCGAGGTTGGAGCTTAGATGGAAGATGGCTGATGTCGAGATTGCGTGTATCCAGAAGCACTTGATCGCCAATTTTGATGGAATGATCATTGCGACTCTGATCAGCGAGCTTCTTTTGTTGCTGCTGGATAGTCAGGAGACGTTTATGCGCGCGCTCCCACAATTGGTGCATAGTGTTAATGAAGTCATGTGCGGGTTGCACCGTGGCGGGTACTGTTGGTTTCGGAGGCGTGACTGGGTTGCGACCGTAACAGAGGAAGAAAGGAGTTTGCCCTGTTGCGGCGTGCGTGGCATTGTTATACGCAAACTCGAGAACCGGCAGATGTGCATCCCATGTAGAGATATCGTCCTTACACGCTGCTCGCAGAAGCTGTTCGACAATCTGGTTGAGGCGCTCTGTCTGACCATCCGTTTGGGGATGATAGGCTGATGACATGGCGAGTTTGGTCCCCATGAGCGACATGAGCTCCTTCCAGAATTTACTCGTGAATTTCGGGTCTCTGTCGGAGATCAGCGTGGTTGGAATGCCATGTTGCGAGATGACGTAGCGGAAGAATATTTGCGTTGTCTCCTCGATGCGAGCCGTTGTGTGTGTCGGAATGAAGTGTCCCATTTTGGAGAATTTGTCGATGACGACTAGAATGGCGTCGTAACCAGCTTTGGTAGGTGGTAACCCGGTGATGAAGTCCAAGCTGACCACTTGCCAAGGCTGTTCAGGGACTGGAAGAGGCTCTAGTAACCCGGTTTTCTTCTATTTGCTGCTCTTCATCCATTGGCATGTGTCGCACGAGGTGATGAATTTTTGTACGTCATCCGCCATGTGGGGCCAATAATAATGCTTCGCAATATCGGCAAGCATCATGTTACTACCGAAGTGGCCCGCGTAGAGAACATCATGATATTCTTCGAGCAGTAACTGGCGTAAAGGAGGGTAATTAGGTACCCATATTTTTGTGGATCCCTTACGGTACGCGGTGTCTTGATCCCAATGCAGAAGATGGCGCTTTTCTGCTACGGAGACTTTGGGGTCAATGGTATATCCATGCGTGAAGAGTCCCTTCAAAAGTGGGTTCATGCCATCGACTTGTAGGGCGGCAACGTGTGCAGGGCAACTGAGTGCGCCTGCCTTGTTCTTGTGCCCTGGCTTATACACGATGTCGTAATAGAAGTGGGTTTCGAGAAAGTCAATCCACCGGACCTGCCACCTGAAGAGTGTGAAGAATGAGGAATGGAATGACTAGGCAAAATGTGGGTACAAGTAGGAAACCTAGAGATGTTGTACCCTATAGTATCTACCCCACTACAGCCTAGATAGACCATAGCATATAAGTTTGACACACCCCCATAGGCAAAGTGGGGGAGAACAAGAGGTCACAAGACCAATCAAGCAAATCACAACAAGCTCAGGGTGGATCACAACGTCACCTGACATTCCGAGCACACGTTCAAGGCCACAACGCCAGTTCACATGCAAGATTATATATAAAGGTAAACAAGCAAGTGCAGGTATAGATAGATCACAGTACAAGCAAGGTCAGGAAGTGAGCAAGCGAGGCCAAGTAGGCACAAGACCTAGCATCGTACAAAAACGATGATGATAACAAGGCTGAAGTGCCTTGGTAAAGATATCAGCAGTGTTGGCCTCAGAGGCCACGTAAGCAAGGCGCAGCTGACCACGCTCCTACAGCTCACGAGCAAGGAAGTAGCGAAGAGCAATGTGCTTTGTTTTGTGCTCCAGTCTGTGCTCCCGACACAAGGCCAGCATGGCCTTGTTGTCTACGTACAGAACTGGAGGAGAACGAGGCGGCTCTCCCAGGTCAGTCAGCAGGTAGGTGAGCCAGCGTAACTCCTGTGCAGCCATGGCCCCTGCGTAGATCTCAGCCTCACAGCTGGAGCTAAGAACAGAAGACGAGCGGTTAGCCCGCCACGAAACAGAGCCGGAACCAAGGGTGAAGGTGTAACCCTGTGATGACTGCTACGTAGCCTGGTCGTCAGCCCAAGAAGCGTCTGCGTGACCTGTGAGGACCACTAGACGTCAACCTCCAAGCACTAGCCCCATGCCTGACGTACTGCACAAGTAGTGCAACACCCTCTTTGCTGCAGCCATGTGCTCTGGTCTGCGTCTCCCAGGAGCAACATAGCGTGCCAAGATGCTAAGAGGGTATGCCAGGTCAGGTCGAGTGCAGGTCATCAAGTACATGAGGCAGCCAACAAGCTCTGGGTACGGGCCACTCGGCTCTACGGACTCATCCGAAGGCAGAGCTGAGAGCGAGTGGCAAGTAGACAGAAGAGTGGCCTGAGGCAAGGAGTACGTGAAGTCGAAGCGCTGAAGGACCTGCTGCACCATGTGTGACTGAGTCAGGGTAATGGTGCGCCGTACTCTGTCCCGGGTGATCTGCAAGCCAAGATAGCTGCGCAGTTCACCCAGGTCTGTGCACGTGTGTCTCTTCTGCACCTCCAGAACCAGCAGGGACAGCACCAGCACCCCCAGCGTCAGCACCAACGCCAGCAGCACCACCAGCTCCAGCAGCACCCCCAGTAGCTCCAGCAGCACCAACTCCAGCACCCTCAGAAGTACCAGCTCCAGCAGCACCTCCAGCGCCAAGACCTCCAGTAGCGCCAGCTCCAGCTGGACCACCGGAAGACGCAGCAGCACCACCTCCAGTAGTACCTGCAGCAGCGCCTACGCCAGCACCACCTCCAGCTCCCGCACCAGCAGCACCACCAGGCCCAGCAGCTCGAGTACCGCCGGTACGAGCACCTCTGGGACCCGTGGCTCCAAAGCCACCAGCAGAAGTAGCACCACCAGCTCTAGCACCACAACTTCAGCGGCGAGCAAACCACTCACGCAGCTCCTGGGGAGAGGGCAGCTCCCGCCGGGACGAAGCAACTGAAGGACCTCCAGGCCTAGCACCACCAGTCTCCACTCGAGCAAGCCCAGTTTCCAGGCTCCTCACCCCCAGACTGAGCAACCCCAGGCTCAACACCCCCCGACTCTGCACCCCCAGGCTCAGCACCCCCAGGCTCTGCACCCCCAGGCTCAGCACCCCCAGGCTCTGCACGCTCAGGCTCAGCACCCCCAGACCCAGCACCCGCGGACTCTGCACCCCTAGCAGCACCAGAGTCAACAGCTACCTCGACAAGCTCGACTGCGTCTACCTAGGACACACCTGAGGGGGCAGGACCCTGAGGGGGGAGAGGGTCTACCGGGGGGGGACCTGGCGCAAGGAAGAGCGGCGGGGGGGGGAGGGGGGCAGTGTGGTAGGGGAAGAGACGGTAGTACGGATCCGACTCATCAAACGTGACG